GGTGGCTCATGCCTGTAATCCCAACACTTTGGGAGGCCAAGGTGGGTGGATCATCTGAGGCCAGGAGTTTGAGACCAGTCTGGTCAACATGGTAAAACCCTGTCTCTACTAAAAATACAAAAAGTAGCCAAGCGTGGTGGTATGTGCCTGTAATCCCAGCTACTTGGGAGGCTAAGGCATGAGAATAGCTTGAACCTGGGAGGTAGAGGTTGCAGTGAGCTGAGATCGTGCCATGACACTCCAGCCTGGATGACAGAGCCAGGCTCTGTCTCAAAAAAGAGCTCCTAAAGATGAGTAAGAAAAATACAAACATCTAGTAGGAAATGGGGAAAGTACCTGAACACACAATCATAGAAGCAGAAATACAACAGATCAATAAACAAAAAGAGCTCCAGCCTTCCTAGTTAATTAGGGATATGCAAATTAAAGCCAAAGTGAAATTCCATTCCATCCAACAGATTTGAAAAATTAAAAAATATCTGTCAGCACCAAGTATTGAGAAGTATGTGGAGCAAAGAGAAGTCTCATTCTGCTGGTGGGAGAGCCAACTGATACAATCACTTTGGAAAGCCATTTGGCAACATTTAGCAAAGCTTGAAGACACTCATCCCTAAGTCTCCACAATTTTATTCCTATGTATTTGCCCTAGAACAGGGGCCCACAATCCCCAGGTACCAGTCTGTGGTCTGTTAGGAACTGGGTCACACAGCAGCAGGTGAGCAGCGGGCAAGCAAGCAAAGCTTCATCTGTATTTACAGACACTCCCCATCACTGGCATTACCACCTGAGCTCCGCCTCCTGTCAGATCAGCAGCGGCATTAGATTCTCATAGGGCCTTGAACCCTATTGTGGACTGTGTATGTGAGGGATCTAGGTGGTGCACTCCTTATAAGAATCTAATGCCTGATGATCTGAGATGGAACTGAGGTGGCGATGCTTGCTCTGGGGAGCAGCTGCAGATACAGATTAACATTAGCAGAGAGGTTGTCTGCACAGAGATCATAATAAATCAATTGCTTGCAGACCCATATCAAAACCCTATCAGTGAGTGGCAAGTGACAATTAAGCTGCATCTGGTGGCAGGCTTTAAGTCACAATTTAACACTTATTTTAGTTTGTTCATGGCCCATCCATCATTTTATTTACCACTTCTATCCATGCTTCTTCTCGCCACTTGTCTCAGTCACAGTTTTGGTAAGCACACAAGCTAACCCCAGCCAAAATGAATAAAACACAAACATCAATAGAGAGCTTCTTTGAAAATGGGGGAAAGACCCAATGATGAGACAGCAGAAGACTCTAAGACTGCCAACAAAAAGAAAGCTGCGTGTAAAATACCAAGAGTCCTACTTAAATTACAGGTTAATTGCAACATGTAATTCACATTCCCCAGGCTCACTTTGGTAACGGGCTATCCACTGAAACTATGAAAGCTTCAAAACTGCTTCACCACATGGAGACCAAGCACCTTGCATTAAAAGACCAGGTTTTAGAGTTTCTCAAAAGAAAAAAAATTGAACACAAACAGAAGCAATTATTGAAGGCCACCACTTCATCAACTGTGTCTGTACTGAGAGCATCATTCTTAGTGGCTAACTGCATTGCTAAAGCTAAGAAGCCCTTTACTATTGGTGAAGAGTTGATGCTGCCTGCTGCTAAGGACATCTGTTGTGAACTTTTAGGAGAGGGTGCAGTTCAAAAGGAAGCACATATTCCTCTTTGGCTAGCACCACAGCTAAACAAATTGATTAAACAGCAGAGGATATTGAGGCACAGTCGTTAGAGAGGATTGAGTCACCATGGTACACAATCCAGGTTGAAGAGTCCAACAATGTTGAACAGAAGGCAACAGCGCTTGTTTTGGTGGAATATATTTTCAGGAGGATGTGCATGAGGATATAAGATGTGTACTTTTGCTGCCAACCAACACCACAGCTGAAGAACCATTCAAGTCTTTAAATGACTACATATCAGGAAACCTGAATTGGCCATTTTATGTTGGTATATGCACAGACGGAGCAGCTGCTGTGACTGGACAGCTTTCTGGTTTCACTACGTGGGTCAAAGAGGTTGCTTCTGAATGTGTCTTTGCACTGTGTCATCCATGGAGAAATGCTGGCTAGCTGAAAAATGTTGCCTGAACTTCACAATATTTTGCAGGATGTGATTAAATTTATCAGCTACCTCAAAGTACGCACCTTTAACTCACTTCTGTTCACACAGCTCTGTGAAGAGATGGATGCAGAGCACACTCATCTTTCTTATACACAGAGGTGAGATGGCTTTCTAATGGTAGATCACTGGCCAGAGTTTTTGAGTTATGAGAGCTGCCACCGAGATTTCTTTTAGAAAAAACTGTCACCACTAGCAGCACTTTTCAGTGACACAGGATGGGTCGCAAAACTTGCTTACTTATGTGACATCTTCAACCTGCTCAGAGAACTCAATCTATTACTTCAGAGGAGAACAACTGTGTTCAAATTGGCAGATAAAGTGGCTGCATTCAAAGCCAACTGGAATTATGGGGGCGACAAGTCAACATTGGAATTTTTGATGTTTCAAACAGATTTTGAAAGAGACCGAGCCAGGGCCTTCTTTGCCCCAGCCGGTGCATGATCACCTATCTCACATTCAGAAGAGTTTGGGCATTACTTCCCAACTACAAAAGATCTCTGAACTGGAATGGAATGGATCCGTGACCCATTTGTGAAAAAGCCAGGTGAATCAATTTTGCCCGTGCTAGAAGATCAACTGCTTGAGACTGCAAATAATGGTGGCTTGAAAAGTATGTTTGATACAACGTCAAATCTCTGTATGTTCTGGATTAGAGTCAAGGCGGCATATCCTCAGATTGCCACAAAAGCACTGAAAACCTGCTTTCATTTCCAACATCCTATTTTTGTGAAGCAGGGTTGTCTGCAGTGATAGAAACCAAGACAAGATTACAGAGTAGACTGGACATAAGCAACATACTTCGGGTGCCACTGTCCCCCATCACCCAGATGGGACTGTCTAGTTGCAAGAAATAAGTTCAGGGTTCCCAATGGTGCTACATTATGGTGAGTTGTACAATTATTTCATTAGATGTTACAACGTAATAATAATAGAAATAAAGTGCACAATAAATATAATGCACTCTAATCACCCAAAACCATTACCACCCCTTAACCCCTGACCGTGGAAAAATTATCTTCCACGAAACCAGTCCCTGGTGCCAAAAAGGTTGGGGACCACTGTCCTGGAGAAACTCCTTCACATGTATAAGAATATTTGTTGCAGCATTGTTTCTAATAGCAAAAATACGAAAATAAATGCACATCATTGAGAAAGTGGACATGTCATGGTATATTCATTAAGTGACATACTATACAGCAGTAAAAATGAACTAAAGTTACATAATATGTAACATGAATACTGACAAGGGCAAAAAGCAACTTTTATAACAATATAGACAGAGTGTTATACAGAGCTTTAAAACATGCATAACAAAAACATCTATTGTACATGGATATACAAACTTTCAGCAATTAAAAAAAAAGTTTCCATAGAAAAATGGTAAAATGTCAAGGTTTGATATATCTCCCACAAGTTTGCCTTATAAAATTCTCTATATTTTGGGAGTGAAACATTTGTTATAACAAAGTTTAAACAGCAGAATAAAACTATTTTCAAGTTTTCTCTCAGTAGTGTTCCTTCTCTTCTGTTGTAATATAATTATTTATCAAATTCTTGTTTGGGAGATATATATACATATATATATATATATATAATTTTAAAAAAAGATCTTGTTTTTTTCAAGTAGCTTCTACCCATGTGAGGAAGTTATTAAACCAAAAATTAGGATATAAAGCAACAACAAGGAAGAGCTGGATAACCTGCAAAGAGGAAGAAGAGTTTACATCTGTCTAGAGCAGCCAGAGAAAATTCCAGGGAGATGCATTTGAGCTGCCTTTAAGGCAGATGCGTTCCCCAAGGGAACAGACATTCCAAGTAGAGAGAACAGCTTGCACAAGAAACTGAGGAATGGGTACAACAGGTAACGTGGAGAAGTACAGTTTTCCCTCAGTATCTGTGAGTGATTGGTTCTAGTACTCCATGGATACCAAAACTAGAAGATGCTCAAGTCCCTGATATAAAATGGCTTGTATTTGCATATACACACATCCTCCCGTATAGTTTGTCTCTAGATTATTTAACAATACCCAATAAAATGTAAATACCATGTAAATAGTTGTTATATTGTTTAGGGAATAATAACCTTTAAAAGTCTACACTTCGGCACACATTAACTTTTTTCCCAAATATTTTCAGTCGGGTTGGTTGAATCCACAAAACCCACTGAATGGAAGGGCCATGTAGGGTGCGGTGAGGCATTGGAGGGAGGATATCAAAAAAACTGGCTAGAGGAAGGAGGAGCTTGAGGTAGAAGCCGGAATGTGAGGAAAGTGGTGCTGTACTTGCTCACCAAACACTCTGGTTAGAACTGAAATAATTCTTTTATGCTACAAACTCCTAAGCGACATAGTTGGGACCAGAACTCGCGCCTACTGACTTCTGGGTTATCTATCCCTGGTAGTGAAGGGACTGCCGTGCCGCCACGATAGGTACGAAATACTTAAGAGTTTATTTTCGGGGTTGCTCGTAGTCCAGTCCTACTTGGGTTTCCCATTTTCCATCAGCCCCAAGCCAACCACGGATGCTTCCCGCCTCGCAGGAATCACCCTCCACTAGGCACCCATATCGCTTTTAAAAGACGACCAGGAGTTCCGGAGCCCGGCGTGCACGAACTCCAAAGACCAAGACCACAAGTCCCAGCATGCAACGCTCCCGGTTGAAAGAGGCCTCCCAACAGCCACTAAGTGGACCATCATGCAACGCTCTATGAAGGGGCACGGCTCACCACAGGGGCGGCACACTCGTAGCGTCGCCTACCTCGGCAACTCCAATTCCGTGAGAGATGTGCTTCCGCTTCCGCCTCTGAGCCCTATGAGCGAGAGCTACGCTACTTAGTCGCCGTGACGCCATTCTTTTGCGACCGCGCGGGCTCGGAGCTGCTGTGCGGTGGCCTTACTCCCGCTTGAAACGGTAGAGCAGTGACTTGTTGCCTGCGGCCTCTGACCTCGGAGCGAAGGGGAAAGCGGCGAGATGACGGACCGCTACACCATCCACAGCCAGCTGGAGCACTTGCAGTCCAAGTACATCGGCACGGGCCACGCCGACACCACCAAGTGGGAGTGGCTGGTGAACCAACACCGCGACTCATACTGCTCCTACATGGGCCACTTCGACCTTCTCAACTACTTCGCCATTGCGGAGAATGAGAGTAAAGCGCGAGTCCGCTTCAACTTGATGGAGAAGATGCTGCAGCCTTGTGGACCGCCAGCCGACAAGCCCGAGGAGAACTGAGACCGTGCCTTACCAAAGCCGTGCGCGGCGCCTCTCCCAGCGTTCCTCCTGTTTGCCAAACCCCTCGAGTATTCCTGCCTCCAAGGGACCGGCTCTCCGTGGCTCCTGCGTCTCGCGCTTTCCGCGTATAGAAGTACTTGCGGGGGAAGTCCCGCCTGACCCGCCTTCATGTGGACCCTTTGGGACAGCGTTGGGAGAGCAGCAGGACCCCTGAGAACTGTGCTGGCGGAGAGGTCCTACAGCCGGCAAGCCTTTGAGAAGAGGGCGTGGCGCTGGAGTGAGATGGGATTTGGCGTCTCGTTTTTGGCTGATTGTCATTGGCTTTTTCCATAAAGTTTAGAAATCCTTCAATCTCTTGGCGTGAACTTCCTGTGTTAGGGTGGAGGGCCCCGGAAAGAGCTCCAGGCACCAAGGTTCTCGAGAGTCCGAGCGGGAAATGGGTTTGGGTGAGGGTGCGCATGCCAGTGTCTGTGGCCAGGCACTTAGATCTGCCTGTATACCTTTATAGTGTTCCCCGACGGCCACTTCCTCCAAGAGCTTTATTTTCAGGCCCACAATGACTTCAGTATTGAAGTTTGTGGTTAATGTATCCCATCTTCTATTTCTTCTGTTTTAAAAGTCTTTGCTGTCATTGTTTTCCCTAGCCTCTTTAAATTACATCCTTTCTGTTTCCTGGGACTTTGTAGCCACGTCTCCAGAAATGACAAGATGGCAAGCGAGTTCATCCATTCTACATTCAACAAATATTTGTTGAGCTCTATGTGACAGGCATTTTCCCATGTTCTTGGGGTATACATTAATGCTGATGGTGGAGAAAGGGCAAACACTGTAGACAACATAGCAAGCAAATGTTAGAAGATGGTGCGGGGAGGGGAGAATTATGTTTATGGTGCGGGTGGGAGTAGCTGGTAGGGTTGTAATCTTAAATATGATGCACAAGTTATTGAGATGGTGACATTTGAGCAAAGACTTTAGGGAAATTGCCATGCGGAAAGTGGAGAAATTGCTTTCCATGAAGAGGGAACTGCCAGTGCAATGGTACCAACGCTGGTGGTATGTATGACTTACTGGAGGAACGGCAAAGAGGGAAGCATGGCTGGAGGGGGCGAGCAAGGGGAAAAATAGAGGGACAGGTACTGATGGGGGAAACAGTAGAGCCTTGTAGGACAGTATATGAACTCTGAGGAGCCATTGAAATGTTGTGTTTTTTTGTTTTTAAAAAATAATAGATGGGTCTTCCTATGTTGACCAGGTTGGTGGTCTTGAACTCTTGGTCTCAAGCAGCCCTCCTGCCTTAGCCTCCCAAAGTGCTAGGATTACGGGTGTGAGCCACCACTACGGACCATTGGAAGGTTTTTATGCACAGAAGTCACATGAGCTGGTGTAGTTTAGGTCAGTGGTGGCCTTGGAACTCCAGGCTGGGGTGCAGCAGCACAATCATGGCTCACTGCAGCCTCAGCCTCCAGGGCTCAAGCAGTCCTCCAAAGTAGTTGGATCTACAGGCATGTGCCACCATGCCCGGCTAATTTTTGCATTTCTTAGTTTTTTTGTAGAGTTGGGATCTCGTAATGTTTCCCGGGCTGGTGTCAAACTCCTGGCTCAAGCAATCCACCCACCTCGGCCTCCAAAGTGCTGGGATTACAGGTATGAGCCACTACGTTGGAACATTGGAAGGTTTTTACCCAGAGAAGTCACATGACCTGACATAGTTTAGATAGTGGTGGCCTTGGAACTCCAGGCTGGAGTGCAGTGGTATGATCATGGCTCACTGTAGCCTGAACCTCCAGGGCTCAAGCAATCCTCTCACTTCAGCCTCCCAAGTAGTTGGGACTACAGGCCTGTGCAACCATGCCAGGCTAATTTTTGCATTTCTTAGTTTTTTGTAGAGATAGAGGTCTCATTATGTTTCCCAGGCTGGTCTTGAACTCCTTACTCAAGCAATGCACCTGCCTCAACCTCCCAAACTGCTGGGATTACAGGTGTGAGTCACTGCACCTAGCTTCCATTACATTCAAAAATTGCTGAAGACATAAACAAAGAGCCTTTGTTTATGTAGATTATAGCTGTTAATATTCTCCACCATAGAAATGAAAACAAAAGTTTTAATTCATCAAAAAATCATGACAATTCTCAGAAAGGTCAATGGTAAAAATAATGATAAAACCATTTCATGTTAACAAATATGTTTTTGTCTTAGGAAAAATAGCTATTTACCAAGACATAATTTAGTGAGAAAAATGGCTTTTAAGAAAAACCAGTTTGGCCTGTAATCCCAGTACTTTGGAAGACTGAGGCAGGCAGCTCACTTGAGGTCGGGAGTTCGAGACCAGCCTGACCAACATGGAGAAACCCTGTCTCAACTAAAAATAAAAAATTAGCCAAGTGTGGTGGCACATACCTGTAATCCCAGCTTCTCAGGAGGCTGAGGCAAGAGAATAGCTTCAACCCAAGAGGTTGTATTGAGTGGAGATTGAACCATTGTATTCCAGCCTGGGCAACAAGAGCAAAATTCCATCTCTAAAAAAAAAAAAAAAAAAAAAAAAAAAGAAAAACTAGCTTTTTAGAGGTCTTCTGTGTTAGTCTTGATTTTCATATCTGCTTTTGCATTCAAACTGTTGGGATATAAAATTTTTGTTGACATATGAAAAAATCCACTTCTCATAAATATTTAGTAGCGGGGAATATTTAGTCTTTTCAAATAATTGTACATATATTTCTTTGATATTCTACCCAAACTCCACAAGTGGTAGTTTCTTAAAGGTTAGTTACACCATGGAATCTGACACTGGCTTAATGAACTTTTTATTCTGTTCCATTAAAATTAATTCCCCTATCTTGAGCTTTGAATGAATCTTTTACCCATACCTGATTTGGAATAACATGCATCAGTCATCTGGAAAGTAGTGGGTCACTGAGTTCTACAGGCCTTCCAAATGTTGATACATTCATTGTACATATCAAAAATCACATTGATTACTATCATCCCTGTCTCAGGAAGATTTTACAGTACTGGGAAACTGAAAAACTTACTGTGAAGATACAGGTTTTCCACAAGTTTAAGTTTTTACTTGATAGCTTGAACTTGATCAAGCTATCAAGCATGAAATTAGTGGCAAATATTGTGTTCCTTTAACTGAAAGGCCCACTTGGTTCATTTTCAAGAACATGTCTGCCAAATACCCAAACCTGAGTAACAAGATATAGTTTGTCATTTTTTCGTGTAAAAATGTGCCTTGAAAAAAAAAAAAAAGGCAGCCAATTCAGTTTACATCTCAAATAATCAAGTGTTTTTCCTTAAGACAACCATTGTCCTTTGGTAGGCAGCAAAAATGCTTTATGCATATTACCAATTTCATCACACAGAATATGAAAATGTATCTTCAAAGAGTGAGATTTCATAAAGTTAGTACTTTTTACTACTTCATCAAGCACATTCTTAATTGAAACTGAGTTTTTTTGTTTTTGTTTGTTTTTAGTGAGGGTGCATGGCAATGAAGTATGCAATGACTGAGCATACATTTTTGTGCCACTTTATTGATTCATGCTAAGTGCTAGTAGTTTTATCACTATTGCTTTTGCACCATCTGTGCAAATGCTAACAGTAAGAAAGGCAAGTAAAATCTTACATTTATGAAAATAGTTTTGGCTTCACAATTTCCCTGAGATTTCTTTCTCACCATTTCTACTGGAAAGAATGACTGATAGGAGATTAAACTATGATTGTTTACACCTGGGCATCTGGCAGATAATTTCTCAAACATCAGAGTTTAGGGTGTTCACCATCTCAGGCTCCCTCTCTTCAGCTCCAAGTCCGGGATCAGCAGACTAGGGTGCTGGTTCTGGCCCACTGCTGTCTGTTTCAGAATTCTGCCTTTAAAACGATATCATTAGTATTAATACTATCTCATCAATTTTGATATGAGAATCAAATGATGTATACTTTGTAGAAAAGTTTGCCTTTTTCTAACTAAAAAGAAAAAAGGTACTCAGATGGAGATACTTATATCTCAAAGTAGCAACCGTTTATCTTTTGTCCAATTTCTTTCCCTTTTTTCTGTTTTTAAAGCAATTTGCAATTTATGTATCTATGCCCCTTTTTAAAACTGAAAGGAAGCGTTGCAGGTGAAACTATTGTCTCCTCTGACCATTTCTAGCCCAGTCTTTGCTCTGTCCTCATGTCTATCCCTACCCCCACCACCAGAGTAATCACTTCTATGAGTAAATTCTTCCCATATACCCATTAGATTTTACAAATATATATTTGTATCCAGGAAACATATGTAGAAGTGTTACTGTATTTTTAGATACATATATGTATATGTTTGTGTATACGTACACATATATGTACATATACATATATATACACACACAAATGAGCTGTCTGGCAGTTTCTCAAAAAGCTAAACATAGAATTGCCATATAATTCAACAATTCCATTCCTAGGTAGATAACCAAAGGCACTGAAAGCAAGGACTGGAATAGGTATTTGTGTGCCAGTGTTCAGTGCAGCGTACAATAGCCAAAAGGTGGAAGCAATGCACAGGTCCAGTAACAGATGAATGGGTAAACAAAATGTGGCATATACCTACAATGCAATATTATTCTGCCACAAAAAAGGAATGAAATTCTGATACATGCTACATAGGTGAATTTGAAGACATTATGCTAAATGAAATAAACAAAACACAAAAAGACAAATGTGGTATAATTTCATTTATATGATATACCTAGAATAGCCAAATTCATTGGGACTGAAAATAATAGAGGTTGTTAGAAGTTTGGGGTACAAGCAATGACATGTTATTGCTTAATGCTTACAGAATTTTTGTTTGAGGGTAATGGAAAATTATTTCTAAAATAATCGCTAGATAGTAGTGGTAGTTGTACAATATTGTGAATGTAATTAATGCAACTGAATTAATTGTACAGTTAATAAAATGATAAATTATACATTATATATTTTTACTACAATTTTAAAAATTAATATATCTGGGCCAGGCGCAGTGGCTCACGCCTATAATCCCAGCACTTTGGGAGGCCGAGGCGGTTGGATCACAAGGTCAAGTGATCGAGACCATCCTGGTCAACATGGTGAAACCCCGTCTCTACTAAAAAATACAAAAATTAGCTGGGCATGGTGGTGTGTGCCTGTAGTCCCAGCTACTTGGGAGGCTGAGGCAGGAGAATTGGTTGAACCCAAGAGGCGGAGGTTGCAGTGAGCCGAGATCACGCCATTGCATTCCAGCCTGGGTAACAAGAGCGAAACTCCGTCTCAAAGAAAAAACAAAATTAATATATTTACCAACACCCATTGAATTGTTCATTTTTTAAAAGATTTATTTCATTTTACT